CAATCATTGAACAACTCTTTTCCCGTTTCGATTTTGTTTTTAAACAATACAATTGTGTGCCTGCATGATTGAACTACCGTTTCCTCTGTTTTAAACTGTTTTTTCCCATTTTTTTGCTTTTTCCTATCATTGGGCACGGATATCGCGCAACGCGCGTTCCCGCGCTAGTATACATATATAATACAGTACATTGCATTGTTCATAAACACACATGTTAGGACTTTTTCTGGTGTCCAATCTAGTTAGATGTATTTGTATTTGTGTAGTTGTTAGTTAAATGTGTAATATGGGCCACAATTGAATATTAGCCCATTAGCCTCTCTTGTAAGCCATAAGTTAGCCATCATCTCCTATAAAAGGAGGCTAACTTATGAGAAAACCTAACTAAGGCATAGAGTATAGAGGCAGAATAGAATAGAAAAGTTTCAGGCTGCTCTCTCTCTCTAGAGGGAGAGCAGCGGCCATTTTATACGGTATACCAAAGTTCTCGATATATTGTTATGATTGAGAAATCTATCTGCTTCTTCTTTCACTGTTCTATGATTGTATGATTGTTAGAAATAGGGATCAACATGTGGTATCAGAGACGAGGCGTGAAATAGATCGAATCCATCTGCATTTTTCGGATCTGTCTTTATCGAGAAAGACCACACCTATTTAAAAAAAAACTGAGTTTTCGATATTTTGGTTTGATGATCTGTTTTCAATGTTTTTCAGCGATTTCTGGAAGATTAGGATCAAAATCTGTTTGAAAACAACCTGCAATTTCATTTGTGAAGAAATCTTTGTTTTTACAGTTGCAGATTTTCGAAGCTTGGTGTTTCTCGATGTTTTGGAAGTTTTCGATGTTTTCTCAGTTTAACCTCTGAAATCTTGTTTTTGATCCAATCACTGTAAAAGGTATACTGTTAGAATCGCCTCTCAGAACCGATCAAGCAGTATATCTTCATTTTTGAAACCTGTAAATTTCAGATTTTCGATTTCTCGATATTTTTCTCATCGAAAACAGGTTCTCGCAGTTTGATGATCGAAGAACAAGCTTCTCGATATTGTCTTTTCGAAAACAGGCTTCTCGCAGGTTGAACTTCGAAAACAGGTTTCTCGCAGGTTGAACTTCGAAAATAGGCTTCTCGCAGGTTGAACTTCGAAAACAGGTTTCTCGCAGATTGAAGTTCGAAAACACGTTTCTCGAAGTTTGGAGTTCGAAAACATGTTTCTCGACATTCAATATCGAAAAAAAAAAGTTTTCGATATTCAAACATCGAGAAAAAGTTTTCGATATTCAAACATCGAGAAGAAGTTTTCGATATTCATTCATCGAGAAGACGTTTTCGATATTCAATCTTCGAGAAGAAGTTTTCGATATTCAACATCGAGAAGACTTTTTCGATATTTAACATCGAGAAGATGTTTTCGATATCCAACATCGAGAAGACATTTTCAATATTTTATATCGAAAAAAAGGTTTTCGAGGTCCAACATCGAGAAAAAGTTTTCGAGGTCCAACATCGAGAACCTCAGCTTCGAAAAGTTTTACAAAGTTAACAATTCAAACTTTTCGATGTCCTGCACTGTTTTGGCCATAACTTTTGACTCGGTGATCCGATTTACGCGTATAATACCTTTTCGGAAAGCTCGTGAAAAGATCTACATGAATTCCCGGGGGAACCCCAGAACCCAATCTCACGCTCCCTCACTCGCCGTTTTTGAGGGAGATATCACCTGTTTTCCGAAAAATCACCAAAGTCAAAGTCAAGGTCAAAACTGAGGCAAATCTGGTCAATTCTTCCAAAATCAAACCAAAGTCAAACCAAATGTCAAAGTTGGTCTAATCTACACTGTAAGGTCTGGAACTCGTAGATAATTCAATCAACCTCGCGTCAACGGTCATTTCACGACAATCAACAATCAACTACTGATGCCTCCCCTAACTCATCAACAATGTGTGATCATCATTGTGCTGAATTTCTAGATGATGAGTTCAGGGTAAACCGTCATGTGTGGTACTTGTACAGATTGCTCCACACACATGGCAGGTATATCAAGCTGTGAGCAATCAAACCTTGCACAATCTGAGGGGGAGTTACAGTTTTCTCCTCCTGGCGCCACACAACGACAAAGCAAGGATTCTCTCAAAGGATGCAACATTTGAGGGGGAGTTTTCAATTTTACCCTCCTCGGTACCGAACGATGAAAAAGCATACCGAGTGTTTCAGTTGAGGGGGAGTACAGAGAGAAAATGAAGAAACAAAGAGAATGAGAGAGAAGTCCCTATGGCTTAGTAAACCCAACTAAGCCTACCCAAGGGACAAAGCCGAGAGTAAATGAGTGAATGTGTGAGTGAGTGAATACTATGAGCGTTAGGAAGCAGAAGGCTCAAGTGAGCAAGAAAACAATGTTCAATGATAAGTCTGCTACCTCAACTGCCTACTATCAATTGATCAATTACTCCCAGTCACTCAAATACTCTTGACAATCCCCATAGGTTCAGGACTGAATTTATTCAGATCCCGGGTAGAAGTCACTGCATCTTGTCCAACAGTGCATGCATAACCCTACCCAAGACCACTCATTTGTCTCCCAACAGACAAGTGTTTAATCATATTTCACGGGGAACCTCATCTCTCATTACTGTCTCCTTCCGAGGCAAGTGATACTGACTACAGTGGCCTCAGCCCCATGCCACTGGACTTTCATTGATCACGCTGTGTCTAGTTATCTCACTCCCAAATGTTTTTGAATTTTCTAGGACACAGACACATTTTTTAGTCAGTTGCAGGTCCAAGGGACCATGCGAGAACTTCCATAGGGCTCATCTACTATAGATAGACCGATGATTGGAAGGAAGTCCTGCTGTTGCAACATAGAAATCACCAACACGTTCAGGCCATTGCTTTAGAGTTTATCTTTATAGTGATGATAACGAGCGTCTTCACGACCTCGGGGGGCTACCACTTTCATTGCTGATCTTTATGATCATGCCTTAACAACCAGAGTGACATCTACTTCAGATGCTTCATAATGATTGGTTGGAAGTCCTGTTAGAGCTTTAATGCTTTTATCATTTTATACAGGCCACACATCAGTGTTTACATTGATGTTGTGTTAACGGAACACTTCTGTGTATCCGGTCTTTATCCTTTAACTTTTCTGTTTGTTTTCAATTTTGTTACCCAGAATAAAAGAATAAAGGCATGACGCCCCGATTCATCGGATCGTCATGAGGGGGAGAGTAGTCCACATGTTCACTATCAACAAATCATTTTTGGACACTTTCTCCACTATCTCTACTGCTAAATGGCCAAGCCAGCTTCAAGTCAAATGGTCAGCTACGCTCACAAGTCAACTATCTTATTCCGCTGTGCCACTGACGAGATCTCCTCAAAGACAATAATTTTCCGCTGTGCAATGTAAACTTTGAGGAGACAAAGGTCAAGTATTCAAGTTCTGAAGATGAATTCTGTGTGCGCCTGTATATCACCTAAACACTCATTCCAGAGGCGCCATCGGAATTCATTAATGCTGATCAAGAGCAACTTCTGAAAGGTAAAGATCACAAGCTACATCCTGAAGATTCTTCAACTCACCGGCATCAAAGAACAAATTGTCATGAAGACATCAAAGGGGAGATTGCAAGGATTTCTTCAAAAAGCCTTTTCAAGAAGCCGAGCGCAAAGACAAAGGAAGCTGAGCTGCATTGAGGAGCAACTGAACACAAAGACAAAGACATCCGCGCTGCAATGCTGATCAAACAAGATTGAACACCAAGGGGGAGATTGTTAGGACTTTTTCTGGTGTCCAATCTAGTTAGATGTATTTGTATTTGTGTAGTTGTTAGTTAAATGTGTAATATGGGCCACAATTGAATATTAGCCCATTAGCCTCTCTTGTAAGCCATAAGTTAGCCATCATCTCCTATAAAAGGAGGCTAACTTATGAGAAAACCTAACTAAGGCATAGAGTATAGAGGCAGAATAGAATAGAAAAGTTTCAGGCTGCTCTCTCTCTCTAGAGGGAGAGCAGCGGCCATTTTATACGGTATACCAAAGTTCTCGATATATTGTTATGATTGAGAAATCTATCTGCTTCTTCTTTCACTGTTCTATGATTGTATGATTGTTAGAAATAGGGATCAACAACACATGTGGAGCTAGGAGGCCATTGGAGATCATTCCACCAGTCCAAGTTTTCTCCGAGCGCCTCGATGCGATATTCTATTATATATAACGCGAGCGCTTGCAATCATTATCCGAAGGTGCCATCAGGATAAACATTCATCTTGAGATATCATTTAATAACAATCAAATGAGACAAACTGCCTTTATACTTGAAAATATTATATCACTATTTACTTCCTATATTTATACATTACTAGTATGTGTACCCGTGCGTCGCACGGGTAAGATATGCGTTAAAATGTTGTTATGAAAAAGTATTAAAAAAAAAAGAATAAGATAGCATGGGTATGAGTGGTATGTGATCGAATTCATGAACACTGAATGAGTTATATTGAGTTGACTAAGAATGTGATGATTTTATTAAGAAAATTGATTTTTTATGATTGATGTTCAATTGATATAATAATAACAATAATAAATGATGATGATGATGATGATGATGATGATGATGATGATAATAATAATAATAATAATAATAGTATTAATAGTGTTAATCTTTATATATATAAAAAGGGGATCGTGAGGCAAAAAACTGTTCCCTCCCTTTGCAACTGAACGGTTATCACTAATCACTATAGGCATTCTGGACACCACGTGGAAGATTGAGTAAAATTAAATCAAAATACTCTATTACAAATTCAGCTTATAATAAAGACAGTTTATAATAACTGCTATAGATGTGGCGGTTCATCCGAAAATGAAAATAAAACTGCACATGCACATTTTTAGCTGCACGATCTTTATGATCCTATAAATTAGTGCTCTCGAAACTCCATCCGTTTCCTGAAACTACACACTTTTAATATTGATAGCACTAAGGGAGGAAGATTGCAGTATCTCTAGGTATTTGAAATTTACTATCCTTAATACGTACGTAGTACTACGTAGTAGTTAATACACGCACAATTGCTTTTTTGGCTTTTTCATGACATGTATTTGTACTTGAAAAACACATGAGGTTAACAGGATTGTTCAGGTTAACATGTGAAATCATAACGATGTTCACCTACAGTATTGAGCACAAGTGGGAGAGAATGAGAGATAGTAGTCCACTAATTAACGGAGAGAGATCGGGTTGTGTTTGGATGTTTCATGTTTGCGGCGTGAATGGCAGAGGCTTGGAATAGATCGACCGCTTGGTAGGTATATATATCACTAACTTTAGCATCACAATTCATAGTTGGTCCTGTCATAATACAATCTTGAAGAGGCTAATATATATGCGTGTAAATCATACGTATAGCTTACTCCCAAGCACACTTTCGTTGTTGGTTAAATTTTTGAATACTAATGGTATTAGTTGATTTACTTATTGCCATGTTGATGATAAAAGTTTTATATTGCAGAATTGGTGCTACCGCCACTCCAGAGATCACGTTGATCAACAAAATCCATGAACTTCACTTGAGACTTGAGAGTCATGCCGGCATACCACAAAAAAAAAGGAATTTTACGAACTCCATAGAATGCATTTTTTGAGATTCATATGTTGGTTGATTGTCCCGTGCATCGCACCGGGTACTATACTAGTAGTGTTAATAGTAGTAATAGTAGTAGTAATAATAATAATAATAATAATAATAATAATAATAATAATAATAATAATAATAATAATAATAATAATAATAATAATAATAATAATAATAATAATAATAATAATAATAATAATAATAATAATAATAATAATAATAATAATACTGATAATAATAATGATGATAATAATAATAATAATGATGAAGTATTGTTTAGAATATATACACATTATGGTACAAACATAGTGGGACAAAAGGAAATGAAGGGATAGGAAAATAATGAAATATTGGTGTATACGGTATCGTCATCATAATTTGGAAAAATAAAATAGTTCTACTACTGCCCTAGTAACATTAAAGCTTGAGGAGGTGACAATGAAATGGTTTTATGTGGATGATATAAAACTGATAAAGTCATAATAAAGTAGGAATGACTTAAAATTATACAAACTTTACCGATTCTGGTATGAGATAATGTTAGTGGGATGGAATGAAAAGAAAAGATGAGACAATTTTAGTGGGATGAATGAAGTAACACAATATCCAATAAAAATTGAGTAAGAATGTTTTTAGTTTATTTTTTGTGGGCCATTGATTTATTTAAGTATGCGTGATTTGGTTTGATGTGTTTAAGTGTGATTTGATTTTATGTAATATGATGCGATCTGATTTAGATTGAAATTAGTTTAATAAAAAAGATGAGAAATGAGTATGTATTGAAGTTTTGGAAATGAAGTAAAGAGCAATGTGCGTTTATTTTAAGAAGTGAAAAATAGTTCTTATATTTCGACTTTGTTTGGTAACCCTATTTTTACTTTATGTACCCTAAATGTTAATTTTTAGGAAACATGTATCTTTAATTTTATGCTCTAACTTGTGTAATAATTACTCCTTTAATATATTAAAGATTGCTACAAATGAATTTTGTTTACCTTGGGAAGGTCAGGGGAGGGGTTGGGGGAGTATAAGATAAACACAAAAGAAACATCATTCATAAAATTTCAAACTCGAGACCGCCCAAATGACTTTGACACATTATTTAAGGAGGAAAATAGTATGACCATAGGGATAATAAATAGTGTATAAAAAGCATGAGAGATGGTGTTAAAATATTAAAGCGATGATAAAAATAGTCATTGAGTATTTTTAAGGGGAAATGTAACAAATTTTTAGAGGCCGTTTGGCAACACAGTTTTTCGGCTTATCAGCCAACTTTTCACCAAACACGTAACGTTTGATTTCGCGCGTTGAATTGTGTAATAAAGTTCTCAAACTACTCTCCATTGTTGCAACTCGAGCTCAAGCAAAGGTGGTCCAAGGAGGAAGATTAAGGAAGGAAAAAAGTTAGGAAAAGTGTGAAGAATTAAGGTAATGATCTTATCAGGCTTATCACCCAATTTTTTCACCAAACACATAACTTTTGATTTGACACGTTGAAATGTTGAATTGTGTAATAATAAGAAAAAGTAAGACTGAAGTTACTTTTCTAGTTGTATTAGCTGAAGTTATTGTAGATGAACAGTTTAACTAATTTTTCATATTCTTTTTTCTTTACTTTATCAATAAAAAATATTTAAATATTTTTTTTCATAAATAAGCAGAATCAGTCAACCCAGCCACTTCAGCCTGAAATTCATAAATTTATGTAGAATCGGTCGATTCATCCAAATTCAATGTTACCAGGCCAAATGGGTTCACAGTTTTAAAGTACGAAGAGGTGATTTAAAAAAAGTACAATAGGTAAATAAATTACTTTTAACTTTATGGATGACTAAAGAGTATGTTGTGTAAAATCACACACGTAGCAAGGGCAATTATAGTTGAATAAGTTTAAATAATACTACTTCCGTAACAGATATATCTTCTCACTCGAGAGTATTAGTTGATTTTAGGAATAAGTAATTTGTAATTATTTTTAGCATATTTTAACAGGAAGGAGTTGGAAGGTCAAAAGGTTTTTCCTTGTGTATAATTGCTTAAAAAAGATGCAGACACATGAGATGAATGCCGGCCTACTCCATTTGTACGTGTAAAATAAGATATTTTTCACTTATGCAACCCATGTAATTTTTAGTGTTTTCTTCATTAATGTCGAATGGTATGTTTGTAACCTATAAAGTTTAAAGTATGGTAGTTTTTGCAATACCATGATCGTTTATTGGGAGGAGTTTTGGAAGATCAAGGATTTTTTCTCATATTAGTGTTGCCGGCATGTACATGGGATATAAGTTTCATTTATTTAATTTAAATAATAATTGTTAGACACATCATTAAGATGCCACATGTCAATTATTGTTACAGATGGGATGCCACATGTTGATTTTTCATATAAAGAGGTTGCCACATGTCAAAATTCCTTTATAGGCTTCCTTCAAGGGTTTCCTTTATTAAATTATATAGATATATATTTCTTCAAGTTTCTCTAAATATCTCTAGACTCTAGTTAGTTTTTTAGCATGTTTACTTTTGATATGATAGGTATACATATACACAAACCTTGTAACTACATGCAATTAATAGTCCTATGGGTCTAATAGAAAAGTTATTCACTCCGATCATTAGATTCATTGCATTGCATCAATTCTAGAGTCTCTCGCCTTATAAGTGTCCTTTTTTTGTTCGACTGATTTAGTTCATTTAGATCACCATTTATAAGTATCACCACCATTAGTGAGCCTCACACACACATTGGTGGTAGCTTAACATTTATATAACTTATGATGTGTACATTGTTCTAATATATCTTTTAGAAGTCAGTAAAACATAAAAGTATGTCCCTCTATCTTTAATTAGTGGCAATTTTGTTATAACCTTTATATGTAAATATCATGCATGCATTTCACTCTACACCTATTATGAAACTTTTTCAGTTTTCTTAGTCTCATCATAACCTTCGTGGGAGTTTTTTTTCTTTCCAATGCACTATCATCAGAAAATACAAAAAATGCCACATAATTAAGAACATTTCTTCATTAACACTGAACACTTGAGTCAACGGATCAGAATGACCACACATATGAAGAAAGTTGATGTCCTCAGTTAGTGATATATCTCTCATATTCGCTATCTGAGTCTTAGTTGTAATAATAATAATTAAGGGTAACATTATCTCAACCTTTGTGGAAGAGACATGCAAAATTATATTATCTTCAATGTATTGGCTCTACTCACACCAGTGTTGGAGTTAGAGCTTACTACCCTACAACTGGAAATGAGAGTCCTTAAGAGAAAACAAGATTCTAGTGTAATGTCCTAAAAAAAGTCGTATTGTATGTTAACCCTTGGACTATATATACTATTTATATTATTTTTTTATAACTATTTATATTAATATCTACACTATTTACGCTATTTATAACATCACGTATACAAAATATTAACATTAGTTAATTACATCAATTCAAGAACACTTTTACACGTAATTACATAAAACATACTCTCATTTACATGTCATTCTGATGTGAAGTGTAGAATCGACTCTCCCTTTTTACAAGCTCCCGGTGGATCAATCATTCTTGGGCTTTTTTGCCCTCAGGCTTAGTTACAGATAACTATGGTTAAATAGGAGTCACATCCTTCAATTCTTAAAACCAATTGGAGATTAGAAGTTGGACGCGCTCTATTTAACAATTAATCTGTGGTAACCAAGTCAAGGTAGATTCATGTGGGGCACCCCCCACAGTTTACCACAGCAGTGTAGGGCCCATCCGCTATTGAGCGGTGAATTGACATGAGGGGATGTACCACATCGTGGTGCTAACAGGTGGGACGGTAGTCCCCGAATCAAAGAATGGTGTTGATCCCCCATAAGACCAACAAGAAATACAGTGAATACGGTTCTCCAATACTACACTAACAAATCCCGTTTGAGCTAATTGTGCACTATTATCCTTATATTGTATTGTAGTCTCGCTATTTCCATCATTAGAGTGTTGGGCGGTGAAACAATGTCACATTCAAAACATGAGTGTGATAGAGAGTGCATGCTACTGCGTTGGATATGTGGACATATTAGAAAAGACCGCATAAGAAATGAGATGATAATATAAAAGGTGATAGTAGTGCATATTGAAGCTAAGCTGCGGAAAATGTGGATTAGATGACTCAGGAGTGATATGCTTTTTAATTTCATGAGTTATGGGGAGCATGATTTCGAAGCAAGCAGAGTGGATGGTATGTATTCATGTTTTAGATTGATATCTTATCATCTTTTTTATCCTCTTATCTTCTTTAACTTTCTTATTTGGACTTGTTTTATCATTTTATCATTTTTTGTATTATATTTATCTTTTTTACCTTATCTTTTTATATGTATATTATATTTATCTTTATCTTTATTATATCTTTTTATCTTTCCTTTCCTTTTGATTCTGATATTACGTATCAATTCGTGTGAGTGGACCACAAAATCTTTCAAAGTAAAGCTTGAATGTTGTTGTTGACTCTTGCTTAAGAGCCCGTTTGGTAACACTAAAATTGGCTGTATTGGTTGATTCTGCTAAAATTTATGAAGTTCTGGCTGAAGTGGCTGTATTGACTGATTCTGTTGATTCATAAAAAATATTTAAAATATTTGTTATTAATAAATAAAATAAAAAATTACATGAAAAAATAGCTGAAATGATCCTCTACGGTAACTTCAGCCAATACAGCTAGAAAAGTAACTTCAACCTTACTTTTTCTGCTTATTACACAATTGAGCGCGCGAAATCAAAAGTTACGTGTTTGGTGAAAAAACTGACTGATAAGCCTGATAAGTCGAAAAAAGGGGTCACCAAATGGGCTCTAATTTGATTGTTGTCTATTCTAGACAAAAGTTTTAAAGAGGCGCATTTGACTCGTGGAGTTAAATATGTTGTGTTAGGATGTTTTTACTTGGATTGCTTTAAGTCTCAAACCAAACTAGATCAAACCAGACCAGATCAGACTTGAATAATTATAAAATACACAGTGACCAAACATTTACCAAACTATATCAATCCAGACCAAAACAAATCAGATCAGACCAGATCAGACCATAAAATTTCATTACAAATAAAAACATCATTAACATCACCATCATAGTACATTTTTTAGTATGAACTCACACTAATTAAAAATGTGTAGTGATAGTAATGCTAACATAACTGAATATTCATATAGGAATGAAACTCATAGGCTATTTACTTGTCACCCCTTGAATACTTTACATGGAAAATCTATTACAGTTTCAATTAGATGGAGAAACAATATATCTCTTCACGGAGTATTTGGTAAGGACTAAGGATCTTGTAGAAGATATACTCCGGGTACAACTTTACCGCTTTACCAAATTTATTTATAATTTGTTCATTCCCCAATCTTTAACTCTTAAACAATTACTAACGGGGTACTATTAATGACATTTTAGGTATAATAACCATTATAAGTTCATATATACATCTCCCCAAATCAAGGGTATTTACGTCACCCCAAGAAACTTTTGTCACTTAAGGTAAAAGTTATTTTTTTCCTAGTTTTCATATCAATTTCACAGTAACCAAAACCATGCATTGCATTGCATATTAGTGTTGCAATTTTTAATCTCTAGTAAAACTTTTCCCTAATTGGAGGAAATCCATATTATATAAACTCACAAATAAGAAGAGAACTTAAGAGAGAGAGAGAGCTTAAGGACATCCTTTTTAGAGAGAGAATCGTCGTACACCTCTCTCTCTCTACACAGAAACAAAGCAACGGCTCACAATCGGAAAACCTCTGCCTCGTACCGCCACCATCCATTTCCTCGTACAAAGAAACTCTCTTTCTTTTGGTTTTATCGCATTCCTCGCTCCGGGAAATGCCGACCACTACCGGCTCCTCCGGCGGAAGCCCCGCCGCGCACCACCGTCGTCATTTGCCAGAGTTCTTCAGCGGCGCCGAGAAATTGCCGGATCACGGGCAGACCCATTCCTCCAGCGACGCCGACGATTCGGAATACAGCAATGGTGGTGGCAGGGCCGCCGGAGGCGGCGGCGGCCACCACCCGGCCGTGCGGTACCTGTTGGTGCGGAAAAGGGTGCCGGAGAAAATCATCTTTAGAGGGGAGGAAATATTGTTCAATGTTCTGACGGCGATGCAGTGTTTCAGATCGAGGAAGAATACGCGGCGGTCGGTGCTCGGGATGCTGCTGGCGATGGTGGTGGTTTCGGCGTTTGTGAAATTCTCGTTCCTGAATAATGGAAATTCCGGCGAGGTTAACGACGGGATGATGAGGATGTCGGAGAGGGGCCCACCATTGGTTCTTCAGAATTTCATGAATGATTGGTCAAATGCTCAGAGGGTAGTTTCTGAATCTCAGTCTTCTTCTTCTTCATCTTCTGCGTCAGGGGATGTTGTTCTGAAACGCCAGATGAAGGAAGTTTTTGTGAGTATTTTTTACTTTTATTTTTATTTGAATTATTATTGCTTGTAGCATTTATTACTGAAAATTTAATTCCTGAAATACTTCCTTTGATGTTAAACACGCTGTCTTGCTTCTTTTGACACTTTTTTGGGGACTGTCGGCAGAATAGTTATGCTGTGTAAAAAGGAATTGATTGCATAAATATGAGGTTTATGTTCTATTCTAAACATATGAGTCATTTAGTTATGAAAAAGCAGAATAGTATTCCACCTGTCTTAAATTAAATTTCCCACTTTTATTTTAAAAAACAATTAACGTTCTCTAAAATCTGAATGATAAACTATTCATCAAATATTAAAAATAACACATCTATAACATCCTAATTACTATCCTCCGTCTCTTTTTAATCGCAACATGTTGAATTTTACACTATTCATATGTTCTACTTTGACTACATTTTATATTATTATTTTATGAAAATTATTTTTTTAAAATTATATTGTTCAATTCACCTCATTACAAATTTTCAAAATCTAATTTTTAAATATTTTTTACTAATAGGGATTAAGATATAATTACGGTCAAAGATGTGCGTTGGCAAATGTGAAATGTTGACCGTTGCAACTAAAAAAGAACGGAGGAAGTATCATCAATGACTTTATTATGCTATATATTCATCAAAATTATTTCTACAAATATACTCCTTTTGTTTTATCATACTTGTACAAATATAATTGAATTAACTGATTTAATTATTATCTAAATAAATGTGTCATTTTTCCATGAAAAGTTTAAGCTGAAATGGAGGCAGTAGATATATGAGAAGTGCAGGTGAAAAAGGGGGTCTCGAGATTTATGATTGAAATAGGACACACACACAACTCCGATCGTTAAATATTTGAAAAAGATTACATAAATATTATTCTTCCAAATGTGATGGACAAAAATATGTGAGTTACTATGATGTAAATTTTGAAAACAGTTATAGTCACTAATAATTATTAAGTCATATATTTTTCCATGATATTTTAATTAGTAATATTTAAAGTTAAATCCCCCTATTGATAAATAATTTAATTTTAATAATTAAAATTTATATATTCAGAAACTTCATTAAAATATTTACAAATAT